ACTGAGACTCAGAGAATAGGAAGATCCCTGGGTTCCAAAGCAGATAAGAAGACATGCAAGGTGGAAGCTCAGGTGTGTCACACCCCAAAGCGGTTGTCACCAGCTCCAGCCAGAATGTACCATTCATTCATTCCTTTGTCCAATCAGCATTTATGGAGCACCTGCTGTGGACCAGGTACTGCTGTCACAGGAATACTTTTGCTTTAAGCAGGGGGCGTGTGTGTGTCTTTGCAGGGAGACCCCAATCTTAAAAAGCCTAGGTCCATGCAATGGAATATTACTCAGCTATAAAAGGGAATGAAGCACTGATACATGGTACAATGCGGATGAACCTTTAAAACATGCTGAGAGAGGTCAGATACAAAAGGCCACATATTTTGTGGTCCTGTTCATATGAAATGTCCAGAACAGGCAAATCCACAGGGACAGAAAGTAGATTAGTGGTTACCAGGGGGCTGGGGGAGGAGGGATGGGTAGTGACTGCTAATGGGTACAGGGTCTCCTTCTGGGACAATGAAATGTTCTAGAACTAGACAGAGGTGATGGTTGCATAGTAATGTGAATATACTTAATGCCATTGAATTGTACACTTTAAAATGGTAAATTTTATGTTCTGTGTATTTTACCGCAATGAAAAATGGAAATGAAGGGGGGGGAGCTTAAAGAGGTCAGTCTCTTCCCCTTTCTTCCTTCCCACAGTCCTAGTCTCTCAGGGCTGACAGTGGACTGCGCTGGGCAGAGGGTCTGTATGTCCACCAAAGGTCCTGCATCTGTGTGTGTAGTGTATGTGTGTATATGGGTGTGTTTGTGTTTCTCTGAGGGTGGGTCTCAGTCTGGTGGGGGGACAGAAAAACAGGGGACAAGATGTTTGCAGCAAAATTACCAAAGAGGTGGTGGGAATGAGTGAAGGATGAGGGAAGACCCCGGGGAAACAGGGCTGCCCAGGCTTCCATATGTATCGATTCTCATGCCTGTGGACCTAGCCTCTCAGTCTGGAGGTGAGTGCTTCGTTTACTGTCTAACTCCTCATCACAGAGGAGGGATGGAGGTCAGTGATCATGCTGATGTGCCTGCAGGTGACAGGCTGCTGTGACAGGGTGCAACAGGGGCCTGGGGCCTGGGTGTGGTAGGGTGATGTGCTTGGGAGCAGGCAGCTTGACTTTCCACGAGCCCTGCATTCAAACCCCTCTTCACCTCTCCTGACACAGTGACTCTGGGCCAGCCATTTCATTTTGCTGTGCCTCAACTTCCCTGTCTAAAACAGGGATAATTAAGAGTCCTTACTGCCTGGCCGGGTGTGGCTCAGCGGTTGAGTATCAGCCTAGGATCCAGGAGAATGCAGTTGAATTCCCAGTCAGGGCACATGCCCAGGTTTCAGGCTGGATCCCCAGTCGGGGGTGTGCAGAAGGCAGCCGATCAATGACTCTCTCATCATTGATGTTTCAACTCTCTCTCTCTCCCTCTCTCCCTTCCTCTCTCTGAAATCAATAAAGATAAAGGATCCTTACTGTACAGGGTTGCTAGGGGAATGAGATGGGAAGTAAGTACACAAGATGGCAGCTGCTATCATGCTGCTGCCCACTTTCCAGCTGGGAACACTGAGGCTCAGGGGGAAGGATTACGGTTGCACAGTATGAGTCAGTGGAGCCCAGGTCTGTGGCCTCAGAGCCAAGCTGACCCCCACCTCTAACTCCCCCCATCCCTCAACTCCCCCTTCTCTCCACCCTCTCGCCCCCCTGGCTGGTGCCAGGGCTGAGCTCAGAGGGGCTGGCCTGGGGCCCAGGGGTGGGCTGTTGCCAGGTGCTCGAATGAGGCAACCTTGCCTGGGAATCTGCTGGGCTCAAAGAGCTCTTCTATTTATAGACCTGCACTAGAGTTGGGTGAGCATCCCCCAGCCCTGAGTGCCTTCTCTGTCCCATCCACACTGGGGCCCCAGCCAGGGGCTGCTGAGTGGGTGGAGGGAGCAGGGGCGGAGGCTGGTGGGCCAGAGCAGGCTGGACCGTCAGAAGAACTGGGTCTCAGGGGTGGACAGTGTCCTCTCAACATACCCAAGGTGACACACAGACACAGCACATGCATCCAGATTCACATCTATCGTATATAATGTCACAAACAACAGTGACACACGGTTACATCCCAGACACACAGTGACTGCACAGGAGGCTCATATACAACCATAGCTGGCAAGGCCACATATAAGTCATACAGATCACACACGACCTCCCATTGCCATACACAAGTCATGCCTGCTGCACAACCAAATTCACAGCTGAGTCCAGCCCCACCTAGGGTCCCTTCAGACTTAAACACCCACTGCTGTTCACAAACCCCTGTACCTCAGCCTTCCTGGCTGCCACAGACACCCCACATTTGCCCCATATTGTCCACACCCAGTCATGTTTGCAGCCTTGAGTACACCTACGACCAGCCAGCATGCAATCATGATCACCTGGCACCATGTCACCAACATGGAGACATACAGTCCTCCCAGGACCACACTCAGCAACGCCACTCAAGCTCACCACTCAACACAGCTAGTCATGGCCCAGGGTGTTCCCACATGAGCTCAGTCCCTTCACGCCTGGCCACTCCTCTCTCTCCCAATGTTACCTCCACTCACCCAGACTCCCAGGCTCCCATCCTGTCAGGATTGACAAGTCCAGCTGGCACCAAGGGAGTGTCTGTCTACTCTGAGCCAGCCCTACTGGCCCCAGGCAGACCCCAGTGAATAAATCAGACCCAGACTTGTCCCTAGAGGGCTGCTGGTCAGGGGACCCCATCACTCACCCTTGAAGACTCTCCAGACTGGGGCCTTGGGACGACCATTAAACCTATTCCCCAGGAGGAAACCAAGGCTCAAAGCTATTTAAGGGCCTTTCCCTGTCCTGCTCAAGGATGACAAACTTATGGGAAGTGTGACCTGTTTTCTGCCATGGGTGGGGCTGCCTTCCCAGAGAGAGTCCTTGCTGGCCCATATTTGCTGTGTGACTTCAGCAAATCCTTGACCCTCTCTGGGTCTCCATTTCCTCTCCTGAAAAATACAGAACTCAGCCCAGTGAAGGGAACTCCAGAGTCAGACTAGGGTTTAAATCCTGGTGCCCCTGAGTGACCTTAGCCAAATGTCTTTGCTTTTCTGTGCCTCAGTTTCCCTCAGTGACCCACAGTTGCAGCTCCTGGTTCTTCTAGAGTGCTCTCTGCTCCATCCTTTAGGGTGAGGGGGAAGGGAGTGCCCAGTCTCTCCTCACTCAGGCAAATGAATGGACCACTTTTGGCTGCCCTGCTAGGAGCTTACAACTGGTAATTCCTTGGAGAAACAGGAAGCTCTTTCATGCCCAGGCGCCAGTGGGGTGAGGAGGTGGGAAGAGAGTATGAGCTGGCCTCAACCCAGTGGGCAAGGCGGCTTCATGCCAAGACCAGGAATGGTGTGAAGGGCCCTGGGGTAAGCATATCCTTGGCCCAAGTGGCTGTACCCTCAGCTATAAAATTTGGTGACATGGACCAGCACAGCAGGTTTAATGAGCCAGTGGATAGAGACAAAACTTGGCTTCAAGTTAAACACAGGGTGAGCTCTCAACAAAGGTCAGCACTGTTGTCATGTGTCATCCTAAAGAGCCCACTAAATTCTCCAGCAGTTCTAGAGATAGAATTCCCTCCAGTTCACAGATGAAGAGACAGGCTCATAGGTCCACTTGCTTGTTCACAATTACACAGCCAGTTAGTGAGTGGCCCAGCCAGGATTTGAACTGGACCCTCTAAGGTCCATGCTCTTCCTAATTTCCTCTGGGGGAAAGGAGATTTTTTTTTTGCCACATCCAACCCTGATCCTGAGGCCAGCAGAGCCAGGTCTGGATGGCACCAGATCATGACTGAATGCAGGAAACTCTGGCAGGCAGGGACTGATGGGGCAGCCCTTCCGCTAGTGTCCCAGTTTCCCAGCCAGCACCCCCTCCTGGAACGGGCTTGGGCAGATGCTAGTAGGATGCCAGGAGGTCCATTCCCCCAGCCCTTGAAGAAAGGGGCTGGGCCCCAGACCATTCAGCTGAAGCCAGGAACCACAGCCTCCTGGCAGTAGCTGATCTGTCTCAGAACCCTCCATTCATTCGGATCAGATGGTGTCCTGCCCTTTCTCAAACACCTTCTGTGACTGCTTTGAGCCCAGCAGGATCTGGCTCCACATATTTTATTCAAATTCATGTTCTTTCACCCAACCAGGCCTTTGGTTATTCTGTTCTCCATGCCTGGACCCCTGGGTACCCCCCCCCCAAAGTCCCCAGATATTTCTTACCCTGGTGAATTCCTACCCACCCATTAAAGTGTAGGTACAATATCCCATCTCTCAGGAAGCTCTCCTACCTCTGCCACCCCGGTACTATCTCTCCCTCTGGCTCAGCCCTGACTCCATGGGGCTAGGAGTGTGTGTGTATAGTTCTATATTACCCAGATTGGGGGCTCAACAAGTGCAGGGCTGGAACTGAGGCCTCCCACAGTCCCCAGCACCATCCAACACAGGGCTGGGCAGTAGGGAGTGGCAGCAGTTGTTTAGTGAATCCGTGAACCAAATCTTTAGCCTGGTATCTGAGGCTTTGTGTAATCTGGTTTGGCAAACTCCTGTTCATCCTTCAAACTCCACTTCACATGCCCCCTCCTCCAAAAAGCCCATCCTAGGCAGCATTCACTAGGAAGACAGATTTGAAGACCTGGCCTCCTATATCCCAGCCAGGACACGTGAGGCTGATGAAGACTTCTTGTACCTGTAATATCATGTTCTCTATCTTTTGCTTCTGGGAGGCAGTAAGGTACATGGGTTCCCAGGTTGCATTAGCAGTTAGGAGATGGATTTAGCAGACTTTCCCAGATAGGATCACATCATTATAAGAAGTATATCGGTCTCCAAAACCAGTGCTCTATACCTGTGGGCACCAAAGGACAGCGTCCCACATACAATCCAGAGTTGCTTTTAGGCGCCTGCCTTTTTAACTCAATCACTGAACGCGGGCCCTTTAAGAGGCGGGTACTGAGGGGCGGGGCTCACGTCAAACCCCGCCCCGGGAACGGCGGCTGCGTGGCGCGAGCCTCATTGCTTCCGTGTGGTGTCCAAGCGGTTCCGGATCCAGATTTTGGTTCTTTTCCCAGAGAAACTGAGGCTGGGAGCCGGAGCGACCGCCCCCAAAGCACACAGAACATCTGGCCTCGCGTCACTGGCAGTTTCCCCGAAATCCCCCGTTTTTCCGGCGAGGGGGGTGATCAAAGTGACATTTAGGACTGGAATAGTTGGGGTTCTTGCCTCGTGTTGCAGGTGAGGACGTTCAAACTCGGAGGCGTGGTCAAGGTCTGCTATTGTGGCTGCGTTGGCGCGGGGATTCGAACCCGTGCTGAGCCCAACTCTGACCTGACCCCTGAGGCCTTGTGGAGCTGAAATGACCCACTCCTTGGTTTGTGCAGACACAGTGAGCAGGTGAAGGCCCAGGGAGGTGGGGGCGGGCAGTGGTGGTACCCTCTTCAGCTTAGGGTTGAACTCTGTGTAGACAGAGTTGGGGGTTTGTGGAGTCGGTGGTGAGGAGGGGGCCGACCCCGTGGTGGGTGGGCCCTCTGTGCTGGGTTCAGCCCCTCTCCTCATCCTAATTCTGGTGCCTCCAGGGTGAGTTCAGTGCTGAATCGCAACACCCGGCAGTTTGGAAAGAAGCACCTGTTCGACCAGGACGAGGAGACGTGCTGGAACTCAGACCAGGTGAGGTCCTCCCCTCTTATGTGAATCAGATTCAGGGGTCCAGGGTCCTTGAGGCTCAGTGGGGTGGCCAGGATAGAACCTGTGCTGAATCCTCCTCCCAACTGTGTGAGAGGGCATGGCACTGCTTTGAGCCTGAAGTGACTGTAGGCCTCAGTTTCCCTGTCTGCTTCCAGGGCCCCTCCCAGTGGGTGACACTAGAGTTCCCACAGCGCATCCGTGTCTCCCAGCTGCAGATCCAGTTCCAGGGGGGTTTCTCCAGTCGCCGGGGCTGCCTGGAAGGTACTGGAAGGCCCTGGAAGAGGGGGAGAGGGAGTTGGAGGGGACAACCTGGCCTCACAGTCTGCCCCTTTCCCTGCTGCAGGTTCTCAGAGGAGTGAGGCTTTCAGTAAGATTGTGGACTTCTACCCTGAGGACAACAACTCGATTCAGATATCCTATCCTGGACTCGGGTGGGGGTGGTCTGAGGCCGTGTGTGTGACCTTGAGCAAGTAGCCTCTAGGCCTGCATTACTTCATCTGTGAAATGGGCTGATGGTAACCTGTTCTGTGTGCTCAGGGACCCAAGGCATGTTTGAGCCAGGACTGGGTAGGGTTTGATAGTTAAATGATAAGCCACCTGTTTCCTTTGACTGCTGTGCTCACACCTTCCCTGTACCAGCTGCTGAAGTGGACCAGCTAAAGGTAACGTTTGAGGACACCACTGACTTTTTTGGCCGTGTGGTCATCTACCACCTGAGAGTGCTGGGGGAGAAGGTGTGAGGCCACTGGGCAGCCGCCGCCTCCAGGAAACTCTCATGGAAGCGCAGCAAAGTCCTTCAAGTTCTGCACAGGTTTATTGATTTCTGCTGGGAAGGATCCCCTCCCACCATCTGTTCAGGAGCTGCCTTTGAAGCCAGTTCTGGGTTCCCCCAACTCTGGGCTGACCATTTTGTTCCCTGAGTGTCTGAGTCCCTGTGGGGCTGGTGGCCTTCACTCGGGATCGTCGGGCACCAGGTTATTCTGGAAGAGTTTGAGGATGTGGTTCTCGATCACCTGTTGCACTGGAAACAGGAAAAGGAAAAGGTGGGCCATGAATGGAATTGGGGCTGCAGAGAAACAGGCCCACGTGCACCCTCCCTTTCAGGGGTTGAGGTGGGGGTTCCTGCCTTGAGAACTGCACCCTTCCCTCTGGGGACGAACAGGGGCCTTCCCACACTGGCACATGGATGGAGGACCTATTTCATACATAGGGAAATCCATACCTCTCCCAGGAAGATTGAGGCCCCTATCCCAGGAACCTCAATTTCCCCTAAGTTTATAAAAATGTGTTTTTGGAGGCATTGCAGAGTTACAAAAATATTCCTTACAAAACAAAACTGGCAAGCTGTGATATTTAAGAAAGGACAAGAAGGGCTATGAGGACTGATCTGTCCCAAATGGAAGACTCCTTGAAGCAAGGAGGGGATATTTCCCAAGCCATCAATCCCCCCCATGACCCCGGAGGTTGGTTCTGTTAGGGTCACAGAATGGGTGGGGAAGCAAAGGGTGAAGCGGGGAGTCAAACCGGGGTCTTCCTAAGGTCTCTACTTACACCCACCTCCTACCTCAGAGAGGGTGGCCTTCATGGCCCTGTGCACTGTGGCCTGGCCCCCTCCCTCTGGGTGTCTTCACCCTGCCAGGCCTCTGTATGTGCTGTTCCTCCAGCCTGGACCATCCTCTCTCCCCTTGGGTACCCAGGAAGCCCTCCCTGACCCCATCCTGAGGTGGGGCCAGGGTCTCTTTTGGGTCTCTCAGTGCCTGAGTGTCCCCCATCATGACCCCAGTCACTGATACACATTGGCCTCCACCCCCAAATTACAGGGAGCCCCCTGAGAACCAGGCCTAGCACATACCCAGGCCAGGTACACAGTGGTACTCAATGTTTGCTAACGTGAACACTCTTCTTGCCAGCATCTGACATCCAAGAGGGATGCCCCATGTACCCTCTCTGGTCATCCCACCTACAGCACCCTGTCACTTCCCCATGTGTCTCAGACTGACCTTTCCGGTATCCCAGAGCCACAGCAAGATCCATTGGGGTGTAGCCGGAGTCAGCTTCAGTGGTGAGATCAGCTCCTCGGGCTACAAAGCAGAGCAGGTGCTACAGGGCAGGACTCTGGAGATCCAGTGACACCCCCCCCCCC